GCATTAAATATCGCATGCGATTTATCGTGCAGCCCTATTCAGCATTAAGGTGTTTTTAACCTCAAACTGTTGCTTGCGGCTAAAATAAGTCATCCTCTATCCAAAACATTGCTTTCTTCGGTGAAAAAGTAATCTTGTCTGAATCAGAAGTTTACAGTTGAAAACTGTCCAAAACAAATAAGTTTGTGGATTTTGATGTGAGAGGACAACAGGGGATTAACTTTTTCACTGGAGGAAGCGTTATTATGGATTATGGAGAGAAACAATGGTTTACAATTAAAACTTTTATGGATTTGTTTACTACAAACTAGGCTTGGCGCGATAGACGGTGCTGACGGTGATACCGGTGTTAAGCCGCAACACCGGTTACGTCACTTGCCCACCACGTCATCGACACCCACCGCCATTTTGATTTTTTATAGTAATAAAAATAATTTAGTTCAGTAAAACAACAGACCTACAATTAAAAACTGAACGAGGCTGCTCAATGCAGTTGAACGACAGTTGCATCACAGATCAGATTTCACGTAAAATGCGAACGGCGCTTTTAAGCTATTTAAAAGCGAAGGAAAGCGAGGAAAAGAGGGAAAATTCAAACGAACTAAAAATGAACAATTGCTTTACTCCAAATTGCCGCTATTTGAAAGTGAAAGTAAAATGCGCACGCTGCTTTTACAAGCTATTTCAAAGCGAAGGAAAGCCAGGAAAAGAGGGAACACCCCCGCGGAGATAACAGTATTACCGGTGTTGTCAAACAACAAACATGCAGCTTTTGGCTTCACAAGACATTAATCGATGGACTGGAGTAGTGTGGATTACTGTGATGTTTTTATCTGCTGTTTGGACTCTCATTCTGACGGCACCCATTCACTGCAGAGGATCCATTGGTGAACAAGTGATGTAAGTGATGCAATGCTACATTTCTCCAAATCTGTCCTGATGAAGAAACAAACTCATCTACATCTTGGATGACCTGAGGGAGAGTACACTTGCCTGCTTTTGTTTGCAGATAAGTAAATGTCACACCTGTGAAGACAGAAGATTGCAGTCTATATGAAGGCCTCGTCCTGTTTTCTGTCGCTGAAGCAAAGCAGCCATGACAGCTCCCTGAGTGTATAAACCAGTGGCCAGATCTGTCATAGCGACACCTGGCCTGACTGGGTCTCCATCCTTAAAAGAGAAAAAGTTAAATAAACAGAATATAAAGGATCTAAAATAGGATGTAGCATTTAAGGTGAAGCGTGCCATTTTTTTTGTTTTTGTTCAATGTTCGAGACAAATGGCGTGGGTTTGGGAAGGGTATCTGTTTCTTCCACTAATATTTCACAATTTGTTGATGCTATAAATGACAAGCACATCAGATCATTGTCCTCACCTCAGGACCAGTGATGTGCATCAAACCAGACACCGCAGACGCAATGGAGTCATAACCAGGCTTGTGTGACTCGGGGCCCGTCTGTCCATATCCTGAACAAATTAACAGACGTTGTTATTGATTATATGTGTGGACGATTATCAGATGAATATGTGCTTACAGCTCACAGTTTCGTGTAATATGAGCATGTCAGAGCTACAATCTCCAGCATATTCTGCTTTGCCAGTACGGCTTGATTTGGGCCTGTGTGCGGCTCTTAGAAATCCCTACAGCTGAGCACACACATCCAGAGAGAATGTGGGCAAAGACCCGATTACATTTCTATTATCATCAGAGCTGTCAGATTAATTTGATTCTAGGACCTCCACTGTAGTTCTAAGACTTTTGACTCACTGGAGGTAAACATCTATGGATGTGTTTATTTCCTTGGCAGAGGTATGGGTGGCTTCAGGAAAATATGTCATGCCCTCGTATGAAAACAGCAGTCTACTGGCCAGAGTTTGCACAAGTATATTTCACACAGCAGTATCACTTCATAACATTTTTCCTTCTCTCTTTGCTTTAATTACTTGTGTTTGCTAAGGCAACCATCACTATTATTACTGCTAATACTCAGATTTAAGAATTTTTCATTCAAAAAAAAAAAGTAAACCGTGTTACACTATAAAAATATCCTGTTACATTTGCAAAACGTAAAAAAAAATAAAATAAATAAAAAAGTTCCTGTGCCAAAAAAAAGTACAATAAAAATACAGTACCATTGTTTACAGTATTATGGGACGTCTGTATATTTATAACCATATATTTTATTAAGTGACAATGTTAAAATACCAATCTACCTAAACCACCAAAATCTGCTTTTTGCCTTAAATGTACTGATAAACACAATACAGGGAGAAAAATCAAGTAAAATAGACAACAGAAAATGTCACAAAACACTCTATTGCATCTTGCTAACTAATAACAAAAATTAAGAAAAAAGAAAATGTGTCACACAGTGATTTCTGAGAATGCTCTTTGACTTTTTTAAAGGGGTCATATGATGTTGCAAAAAGAAAATTATGTTGTGTATTTGGTGTAATGAATTGCGTTTATGTGGTTTAAGGTTCAAAAAACACATTTTCCACATACTGTACATTATTGTTGCTCCTCTATGCCCCGCTTTTCTGAAACGCGTCGATTTTTACAAAGCTCATCGGTCTGAAAAGCGAGGTGTGCTGTGATTGGCCAGCTATCCAGTGCGTTGTGATTGGCCAAATACCTCAAGCGTGTGACGGAAATGTTACGCCCCTTACCATAACAAACGAGGCATTTGTTGCATCCAGTGGGGACATATTTACGGATTATAATGACTTATACTGTCTTTTTACGCGTTGCATCGCGCCGCGTAAACATAAAACCATGTCTGCATTTGTGATCGGAGAAACGACAAACAACAAACTCTACACTGCTCAAAAAAAAATGGCGTTTGAATCGTCAGTGGCAAATTCTTTCAATATGAAAATGTACTTACTGTCTGGGAGTCAGAACAGCCGGCATTGTAGGCTACTCTACCAGGAAACAGTCCTCCATAAAATGTGCTGCACACGCTCGAATATTTGGGTTGAACTGTTCTGGAACAGTGTTGTAAATACAACTTAACCACTGATTTCTAGTCGTGTCCTCTTTTGGAAGACCAAACAAAGTAGTTTCGCTTTCACAACGAAACACACAGCGTCTCCACGACATGGTGGCAGCAGCAGCAACAATACTACAGCGAGAATAAGAGTTACGCCTTCTTTCTTTGCGTGAACATTTGGGCGGTGTTATGCAAATCTTCCCACACAGTGACGTAGACGTGGGGGGGGGTGTTAGAACGAGGCGTTTTAGGAGGGCGTGGACGAGTCTCAACTTTTATAAAGAATATCTCTTTGGGTTTGAGTCTTTAGTCTTTGCAACTTTAGGGATCTTATCTATTCACGAACAGCTTGTAACAAACACTCCAAAGAGAAAGGAAAACTTGAAACTGCATCATATGACCCCTTTAATATGGTAATTTATAGTTTTTACTTGCAAAAATAAAAAATCTGATTACATTTAATGTGATGTTAAGCCATTTACAATTTTTTCACTGTACAGGTTAATGTAACTTCCAGTTAACCAGGGTTTACTATAGCATTTTTACAGTATTTTTCCAGAACTTTTACAGCATTCAGACTGGAATAATACCTCAAATCATGCAAGTTGTTGAGGAGAGGTGTGAGCTTTTACTTTTCTAAGTGACTGGACTGTATTTTCGCCTGGCAGACAATAAAACAGAACACCTGCATTGAAGGAGGGAGCCAAGCCATTTCTGGAAACCTTCAGGTTATCACTGTTGAGACAGATCTTAACTAAAGAGCTATGATAGGAAGTTTCTGTAAAGTCCACAGAATATCATAGATATTGTGGCCCACTAAAGCCCAAAATATGCTTTGGTTTTTACCCGTACTCCAGAGTATGCATACAGTGTGTAAAAATGTTGTTATATTAGATGCTTGTCTACAAATTGTGATTCCAAGAGGCTAGATAGCACTGAAAAAAAAAACTGAAAAAAGATTCAGCCATATACAGTGGAGTTGTGTTTTGAATTCACACCAGACAAACATGTTTGTTACAAAAATACAAATTGAAATCAGATTCATATCATTTATTGCAGCTAAAATTATTCATTTCATTTCTACCATCACAGTACTTCAGATGTAACACCTAAGCACACTACATTCATAGCATCTCTTTTACTATTATGATGTTACCACCAATAAGAACCACCACAAAAAGAGGTGCAAAGATATCTGGAACTCAAGTAAACAAAGAACAAAGATCCCCTTCATCACTGCTTCTGCCAGACCCCCATCACTGCCGTAACCACATCAATATTAACAACACAAGTGTGAGAACAGGAACAACTAGATTTTTACATTTTCTAAAGAAAATGTGAGTGGTCTGGGAAAAGTTGCAGGAATAATTCTAGAGCTCAGTGGGTGTTTTTTAGCACATTGTAAATTATTTCTAGGGTGTCAGAATCCTATAAACACAAGCGCTGTCAAAATATTGTTCCATCTGATTGAGAATCCTGACCAGCCCGCCATAGCAACAGCTCAACCAATGGCGTGATTTTGGGGTGGAACTACCTTTTTACTCAACCAATGGCAAAGGGAGAGAGAGTTTGTAAAACTCATTAGAAAACCGTCCTTATTTTGCCATTCTGTTCGCAGAAATTACACATTTCACCTTTGAAGTAGGTTTGAAATGAAAATCCACCCTATTTATTTTCTAAAAGCATGTTATTGATCTTATTACGAACGATTCATCCATGCATTTTTTTTTAATTGATCGTCATTTTTAAATCAAAATATGACTCTGATCTTCCTGTCAAATAACAAACTTCTTTCTGGCGATGTATGCAGGACTCCATTCATTTAGCCAGCAAGCTTGCATTCATCTTCATCTACCCACATCTCTAAATCCAATCTACAACCGATGAACTTTTCTTTACCTTTTTCATGAACGCATTATACTCTGATGTAAATCACAACAAAGATAAAAAAATCTATCTGATGCTTTTGGAATGTAGTTTTTCACATTTTCCACCAGGACTTAATTAAAAAAAAAAAAAACCTGAAACAAAAATTCATAATTTTCAAACAAACCAAAATAATTGAAATTGGGGACAATATCCCTTTCAAATCCCTTACAAATGTGCAGCTTTTCACTTCACAAAATCATCATGGATTATTGTGATTTCTTATCAGCTGTTTGGACTCTTATTCTGACAGCACCCATTCACTGCAGAGGAACCATTGGTGAGCAAGTGACGTAATGCTAAAATTCTTTAAATCTGTTCAAATGAAGAAACAAACTCATCAACATCTTGGATGGCCTGAGGGTGAGAAAATATGTAGAAAATTTTCAACAAAAAAAAAAAGGCAAAACTAATTATTAACATTTTTATTTTAGCTGTTATTCAGCAAGATTAGAGAACTGGTTTCTAAGAGAATCCATAACAGCAGCAGAATTAACTAGTAGTAGTGTTGTATCCATTCATCAGACAGCCCACGTTTCTCCACTGCCAGCTTTGACACAATGTGAAAGGCATCCAATGCCAAACCTCAGCACATTTGGGTGTGGGGGCCCATCTAATGAAAGACATATGCTGAAAATAACTTGCGTTCTCAGACGCCACTTAATCCTCTTTAATTTGCTATAAAGAAATGAAACCCCAATAATAAAAAGAAACAGGGAGCTTTGTCGCTTCTGTGGACGCCAAGCACCATGGAGACCTCAACCATCCCTAGAGGAGGAACAGGAGTCTGTGGTTCTCGTTCTCTGTACTCATCAGTGTATAACCAAGCATGATTATTCCACGTTAACCAGACTAGACAGTGCGTGTCTCGCCCAAAAACGCCCGTTCCATATCTGCATGGACCGTAACAGACATGATGTACTCCTGATAAAAACTGTGTGAAATCAAAACCACCTTTTTATAGTGGGAACATGAAAAAATTTAAGAAATCTGATGGGTATTCCGGTGGTTTTTTTTGTTTGTTTTGCTGACATATCGAGCACTGTGTTTACCATTTCATTGAATATACGATCCTCTTAGACATTATGGCTCAACGGAAGGACTAGTTTTGCTTAAATAGTGAAATCGCTAGTAAATAAATGGATGACTTGACATAAAACGAGAAGTCAAAAGTAAAAAAAACTAATGACTTTAACAAGCTTTAGATGAGGTAAACCGCTAAAAAAAGAGTGTACTATGTTCCATTCAAAACGTAATGTTCTACCGGGTCGTCCAAAAACCCAAACGGCTCAGAATTACAACAGTGATCCAAAAACCCAAATGGTAATATTTTTGACGAAAGGAAGAAAAACTTTTCATAATAAAAAACAGACAAAGATTTGATGCTTTCGGGCCAAGTTTGGTCATCGTTACGCCAGCAATGGCAAATCCCAAGGTTCCTGACAATGCTGATGTCAACATCTGATTAATCTCCCATGTGTGGGACCTCTTTTTTTGGAGCACAAGGCGAATTATCAAAGTCTGCCAAGTCATGGTTTTAAGCCTCCACAGGGATTTGCACAACCAATCACAATGTATAGGTTACGCAGTGCCGTTTCCTGATGAAATTGGGCCAAAATAAAAAATGGGTCACTCCCAAATTGCTACTGGACCACAATTTTGCCCCCTCAGGACTGAAGCAATAAACCAAAGGATGACAATAAATCAACTGACGGCATGCCACTCCAAGGCCCATTACAAATAAATTAGACAAGACTGCAGAACTGCAAGCATGTGAGATACAAACCAGTCATAAATGAATGGCTTCCCTTATTCCTGATTGGGGTGTTTAATTAATCACAGTTCATGTGGTGGGCAAGAGACTGGTAATGATATTTGCTTAAAGCAAAGATTTAAAGGCTTCAACAAGAGGGCCACAGCAGACCTCTAGTGCTGGATCCAACATTCCCAATCTAAGGCCCGTTCGCACAGCGTATGCAGTTTTTTCCATGCCTATGTTAACAGGTTAGCACATTCACACTGCACACGGATGCGGTCCGGCAATGCAATCCAGGAGCAGTGCATATGTAGTCGTCTATTTTTGCTGTGCTGCATGTGCAGGATTAAAGTGACAGCACATTTTTCATGGTAAAAATGAACATAGATGGACACAAAAATGTAGTAATTACACCATAAATGCATATAACTAAAGTCTACTGTGTTTCACAGTCACCACATATGGATTTTGGCTAGATTTAATTGTTTTGCCACTTGCTTAAGCAACTTAATATATAAATCTATCAAGAAGTACAATGCATTGAATAATATCTTAATATTTATTGCGCAAAATGTAAATACTATGAAAGACTGTATTAATGTACTGTGTAAAAAGAGAATCACAATGCTGAAAAAGCATGAAAGGGATAGTTCACCCAAAAATGAAAATTCTGTCATTAATTACTCACCCTCATGTCATTCCAAACCCGTAAGACCTCCGTTCATCTTCGGAACACGAATTAAGGTATTTTTGATGAATTCTGAGAGCTCTCTGACCCTCCCATAGACAGCAATGTAATTAGCACGATCAAGGTCCAGAAAAGTAGCAAGGACATCGGTAAAATAATCTATGTGACATCAAGGGGTTCAACCGTAATTTTACGAAGCTACAAGAAGAATACTTTTTATAATTACATTGTTGTCTATGGGAGGGTCAGAGAGATCACGGGATGCATCAAAAATATCTTGTGTTCCAAAGATGAACGGAGGTCTTACGGGTTTAGAACGACATGAGGGTGAGTAATTAATGACAGAATTTTCATTTTTGGGTGAACTAACCCTTGAATTGTATATATTTTATATATTTATAATGGTGTTCAGTGCACATTGTGAGACAGCGCAATATTACACTTTCGGTGCGTAAAAATAAGTCACTTTTCTAAAGCATATGATGTCAAAATGATCACACTGTTGTATGACTTTAATTGTTACATATGAAGAAACTTTGCTGACAAGACCTGTGAGCTGCTCGCCATTTTAGATGTTTACCAAGTTTCAAAATAGATACTCATCATGCAATGTTTATTTTATGTTAGATAGGTTAGATTAGATTTCTAATATCTAATAACTTTTTCAGTTTTTTCACTTTGTCAAGCAGACATGGCTTCAATTTAATAAACATTCTCTAGATACCACAGAAAGCCTAAAAATAAATTCCTATCTACAATATCGAATACAGTACAAATTAAGTTTTGGCCAAATGTAATTAAGGGGGAAATGATCAGTTTGCTTCAACGGTGCAGCTTTAATTTGATCTAATTTGTTAGACTTTTCTGGAGAATGAATGCGTGAATGCATGCATGAATGAGTGAATGAATGAATGAATTAAATCAATCAATCAATATACTGATATCCACAGGTTTAAGGAAACCAAAGCAGTCAGCAAAACCACAGAAGGCAGAATGATGACAATCGACTAGAGAGGCTCATCCTAAAAATCCCTGTCAAATAATAAATCAAATAGCACTTGTTGAAACTAAGCATTCCAGACTGATTTTACACTCAAGAAGAAAGTGAAAAATCCTTTCAGAAGGGGAAAATTAAACGATACAGGATGAGCACAGTAAATCATTCCAATTTAACTGTCCAGCATCCACAATTTAATGAGGTCTTGTGGGTTACGCCTCCAGGTCTTTATAAGCAGCGCGAGACATGGGAATTCAGCTGTGATTTGTGATCTTACAGAGAACAGCAGGAAAAAAATGCAGTCTTTGAGTGCAATTCATTGCTAACCGCAAGAGATACCATTGCAGTGTTGACACAACGTAACAACTAAGATCACTGCCAACATGAGATTATTGTTTGCTGAACTTACTTGAATGGTTTGAATTTTTTGCGTGCCGATAGATGCTGTAATTTAACTATACTACCTCATGTTCCCATGTAAATAAAAACAGACATTTCTCAGTAGTTCTGAAACAGTATTAAATCCAGATGCAATCTGTAGTAAAATATTTTATACCTACTGTATTTGAAAAAAATGCATTTTAGTTTGACCAAAACTGGTAACTTTTTATAAGGTTTCTGACACACAGAGAGATGTGTGCCTGTCTACAGAAATGCTGATTTCCATTTCCTTATCAAGTGTGACTTGACTGCAGGATTTATGGGTGCCTGACACGTGAAACCATTCACCAAAGCAGCCAGCGTGGTGACAGTGCCCATGCGCTTCAGATTAGCGTGGCTACAGAACAATTTTCAAGTAAAGCGTGGCTTCGTTTATGAGTGTGATTTAAAAAAAATCAGACAGTAAAGTAAATGAGCCTTTTCATAAGGGCCATACAATTGAAAACATTAGGGTTTATGGGTTAAAAGCAGGCCAGATTTAGAATACCATAGCAGAAAACCTGGGCTTTTACATATTTAACTGGAGACGTAAACGTAACGAACACCTCAGCTTTTTGTTGCCGCTGTCTTCCTCCATTTATACAAACACACCCAGTTTCTCCGTTCATTCATGCCATGGACTGCATCATAAACACATAATAAAAGAGAAAACGCTGCAAAAATGTGCAATGACACACATCTCTTGTGGTTCTCAACCAGGGAGCCGGGGTCCACTAGGGGGCCTCAAGAATACAAATACAAAAAGTATTTAAATAAAAAAAAAGATTATTAATGTGTTAAAATAATCTAAATCCAATCTAAATTAAAATGCTAAAACCATTAAGATGTCAATATTTCTCATATAATTTCTCACATAATATAATAATAATAATAATAATAATAATAAAATAAAATCATAAAATATTGAAAATAATGTTTTGTTTTTTTTAACCAGGGCTTGATATTGTAAGCATTTTTCCCTCATTTGCAACTAAAAACAGATGTGTGTGAACTGTAAAATCTATTTAGCAGTATGTTTGCAAATAAAAAAAAGTCCCCGTGGGGCTTTAAGTTGTGTAAAAACATCAGTTTTATCAAATTTAAAGCTAAATAGTCTTAAATGTCTTAATATAATAGTATTAAGATACTTATATATATATATATATATCATTTAAAGAGGTCTTAAATTTGGGAATGGAAAAACAGGAATTGTGATACAGTCTAATGTGATTATTAACATTCAGAAGACTATGATTTCATTCAAAATATGTCAGAGATGCTCGTTCAATGTCAAAACGCGGTGCTGTTGCACATTCTACAGACTTTGGCTATCAGAGCGGTTTACCATTAATAAATAACATGCATTTATGCCAAGAGACAGTCATAATAACTAAGAGTATATCATAAATAATGTTTACTTTATGGTGTTTATATAGTAATATGTTGTAAATGGTTGTATGTTATGCTTATTTTGTCTCCTCTTTTTGAATGTGCAGCTGACAATGGTAACATTTCAAAATAAAAGTCCAAATGTATTTCTGGCTTGTTTATAACAAAGTCCTGAATTGTGCAAAAAAGTGTTTTTTCCCTGGTTATTACTGGTATCTGGCATTGAATTAGAAGTAAGTCCTTGTAGCTTCTGCATGGGCTGCCTCGTCACAGGACGGAAACACTAAGAACACTGTTTATCAAAGTTAATAATTAGATTTTACTGTTCATTACAGTTTAGTAATAAACTGATTAAGTTTATATAGTTGTAATAATAAAAATGAATCATGGTTATTTAATCTGGTTTCCAGTATTTAATTCAATACACCCACTTTTTGTTGGAAAAAATATATAAAAACAAGCGACTTTGTCATAATTACAGCAGAAATCATGGAAATAGCTTGTTTACGAGTCTTTTCATATTGTAAATATTGTGTTCACCCGTTATAGAGCAATAGATGAGCTGAGGGGCCACTTTACTCAACTCCTCGTACCCAAGTCCCATCTCATTCAGCTTCCCGGGCAAGTAATTCTCCACCAGAACATCACAGACTTTGGCAAGCTGACAAAAGAGACAATGCAGTGCGAGAGACGAGGTGTTCAAGCCGAAATATATCAAACAACAAAAGTTATGTAATGCATCAAAGAATAAAAACACTGAGTGTCGAACTTTTACCTCAGTTACAAGTTTGGTGCCCTTTGGATCTTTAAGATTAACAGCGATGCTCTGCAGGAAAGAAATCACAGTTACAATAGCAGAAATCACGATCTCGTGCATTTTAAAAGTTACAAAAAATTGATAAGATATGAATAAAATGGAGTATACCTTTTTGTTCCTGTTCACACTCAGAAAATAAGCACTCTCTTCACCCACAAACGGGGGGCCCCAAGCTCTTGTGTCGTCTCCTGAGCCTGTCACACATTCACAGCTCAATACAGTTCACCAGAGTTCATCGGTCAGAAAAACTACAGCACTGCAGTCACACACGGTTTAGATCTAACAAAGAATCGTTTTTACAGGAACTGGCAACACAAAGCGTTTACTATGATAAATGTCATTATAGCGCAGCCATTTAACATGGAAACAGCATTACCTACCTCAAAACATTTGCTTTAGAGGCATGCTTGGTCAAATAACAGTTTAATATATATGCAAGCAAACTTAATAAATTGATTTTTTTATTATTATTATTATTTTAGAGCTTGAAAGCCCCAGTCCTAATTCACTTTCAGTATATTGAAAACAGTGACAAAGAAGAAATGACTTCCTTCAGTGAGGAAATAACGGCAGAATGTGCATTTTGGGATGAATCGAATCCTTGAAATTATGCCAACATCTTAAACTAGAATTCATGCAATATATGTCATATAAGATGTTTACTATTTACATGGACCTTACCTGGTCGCTCAACTTTGATCACCTCAGCTCCCAAATCTCCCAATATCATAGTAGCAAAAGGTCCAGCCAAAACCCTGCATTGCACACCCATGTAGTCATTGTTTAATAGTAAGCAAATTGGTGTGTATAGTGGTTGAGAAGCATGCTATGAATACACAGCTCCTACCTTGTCAGATCTAAGACTTTAACGCCATCTAGTGGTCTGATCTGACTTTCACCTGTATTCATGGAGAAATGAGTTATTAACATTATTAACAATAAATCTACTAATTAATTAAACGTATTCTAGAATTCCTCATTGACAAATAAATAAATAAATAAAAACATTGAATAAAAATCGATACTGTAACTAAATAACCCTGGTTTACGCAGTTCAAGAGAGCTCATCCCTGGAACAATGTTCAGCTTGATTATATGATTAACAAAAGCTTGAAATCATACGTTATCTGGCTTGTCAAAGGGCAAACGGGTTAAAAAATAACTCATCCTTCAAGAATTCAGGTTACAAAAACAAACACAACTCAAACATACAAAAAAAAAGGTGCTATAAATTTGTCTTTTTCTTTTAAATAGAGTTGTTATATAGGTCTGCATGCAAGTACCACAACATAAACAAGCAGGTGTGCAAACAGTTACGTTAAAATAAATTGGTGTTTATATAAGTAAACACGTACCTCTGCATACACCTATTTACACCATAAGGTATTAATATAACGTGAAATTAATTTAGAGGACTACATCGTTCCTGCACACACTAATGGTACGATAACACAACCTCAACTGCTCGGTTTAAAACACAGCAGCTACCTTTCAGCTTGGCAGTGAATGGTCGCCTTATATTCATACACTTCGTCTTATTCGGTTGTAGACATTGTGATGTTCTGCTTAGATAAGATAAAACTCTTATAAGAACGCTTCCCGACATGTTGACTCGACGTTTACGCACGCAGCGTCTATAAAAGCCCCTCCGCGCGTTAATTTCAAATCAAACTTTGAGAAGAATTCACGAGAAATCTTTTAAATCTTTGCAAATGCGCATAAGCGGTTAGTTCGACACATTTGACGACACATAATGACAGAAATCACTAATAACTGTTGTGGCGAGACACACCAGGCTTCCTGCGAGGGGCGCTCATCGGCCTTAAAACCGAAACCTCCATTGAGTCGCGTTCAATTTTTGTCTTCGATTGTGTGTTTTTTTGTTTAAATCTAAGAATTCTAGTCATTTTTACCTGAGGTACAAATGAAAATCCACCCCAGAAATCTTTAGAAAATAATTAAATAAAATGCCATTTCCTGTAATCACAAACGACTGTCCTTTGGTTAATATGTTACAGCGATTAGAAAAGTAACATTTATCACATGACCACGCAGCTCACGCTTCAGCAACAGGCTGCTTTTCTGTAATCATAGTAGCATCAAAGGAAATAAACAGAAAATAGCAATAAAAAAAAAAAAGATGTTATCCAGAGAATAACTTAAAATAAATTATCAAACAAAAAGTTTTCTAGAATTTTATACATTTGTTTTGCTTTATGATTTTTCGTACCTTTCAGAGAATATTTAATTAGGTCAATTTTAAATAGTATGATGTTCGGTTTATTGTTTCCCCATTTTTTTGTGTATTTTATTATATATA